TTTTAGTTTTTTTAAATTAAATGAAAAAAATCATCTGATGGAAAAGTGTTGTTGGATATTTCTTAAAAATAAAATTTATTATTTAAAAATTTGTAAATTAATTTAATTTATTTATTTTAAACATCAAAAAATGAATACAAAATATATATCCCAAAATTGGGAAATGATTTTTTTAAGTATAAAATTAATTGAAGTGATTTGTGGAATATTTAAAAAATTCTTAAAGGATTTTTAAAAATTTTAAATTATTTTCTCCTGAAAAATCAAAAAATCCTTTAATAAAAAAGTCTGTTTTTAATAACAAAAAAAATTAAAAACATTTTTGAAAAGCTAAAAACAAATTCTCCTTCTTTCTTTCTCTTCTTTACAATTTAATATTTTGAAAATTAAAAAAATTCTTATTGTTATTACAAACTATTATTGCTGCTAAATAATTCTTCTGAATCGCTTATTGAATTACTTGAACATTCTGTTGAATTGTGATGGAAATTCTGAAAATTACAAAAATAAAAATCAGAATTTTTGAATTAAAAAAGGGAAAATTAAAAATATGTGGAGACTTGAACTATAAAACAAAACGAACATTATTATTATTAATATATTCCTCCTCCTCATTTTCTTTTAAATTTAGATATTTAGGTGAAATAAAATTCATTAATTCATTAAAAGAATTATAATAATTTGTAAACATTTCCATTTTTGTAAAGTCTCCATGCATACAATCTGTTCGGAGAGAAGTAACTCTCCAACCTTTACTTGTTAATTCTAAACAATGGGGCTGGCCTTTTTAAAAAGAAAATTTATAAAAATAAATTAATTTACTAAACACCTTCTAATGTTGTTAAATTAACAAAAATAAGTTCTGGAGTTCTTGGCAACTGAAGAAAATTAAATTAAATTAATTTTTCTTTATTTTTTACCATTTCGGAGACAGCAATACTTTCAACAAAAACAGCAAATTGTTGAACAGCAACAATTGCTTCTAATTCTAAAGGGCTAATACATTCCCCCCGCGATTGGCGATTTCGAAATATTCCATCAAGGAAAGTTGGTGGTGAAGATGTTGATGAAGATGTTGTTGCTGTCATTAATTAATTTTGAAGAAATTTTATTTTTTAGAAAGTGCTTTTTTGTTAAACTAAAGAAAAATAATTAAATATATTTTTTTAAATTGTTAAAATAAAAATGAAATAAAAGAGAAATATTTTGGAAAAATTAATTTTTAGAGAAAATATTGAGGAAACTTTAAAAAAGCATAAAAAAAGAAAGAGAAAAACAAAATAAAGAGACTAATTAATTAATTAAAGTTTATTTTTAGAATATTTATTTGCATAGATTTTTTTAAAATTTGTTTCTTTAAATTAAAAAAGAATATATTTTTTGTTTCTATTTATTTTAAACTTTGATCAAAAATTTATTTAAAAAATCTTTCCCTTTATTTATTTTTGTCAAAAAAAATAAAAAGGAATTCCTTGCTCTTATTCACGAGAAATTGTTCAAATAATTCTGCAAAATAATTTGTGATTTCTCTCTCCCTCTCCTTCCCCTATTTCAAAATAAAAAGAAAAATATTTTTAGTGATTAAAGTAATTACAAAAATTTTTTATAAAAAAGTTAAATACAAAAATTTTTAATTAAAAAAATAAATTTTTAAATAAAAACTAGTACACTTTTACTGCACTTTTATGGCCTTAAATAAAAAATTGTTCCGCGTACATATTTTGTTGTTTATAGGAAATAAAAAATTTTTATTTTTTATTAAAAAAGAAGGAAATTGTTTTTAAAAAAATTAATTTATTTGGATGACCTAAAAATTAAAAGAAAATTTGGTAAGGAGGGGGGGAGGGGGGGGGGACACACAAAAATAAATTTATATATTTAAAATAACCTTCCTCCCCCTTATATATATTTTGTAAAAGACAACGTGTTAACCCTCACATGCTCTTCCGTGGGCTGACATTCTTTTTTTGTTGACGTCATTAAAAATCCCTTAATCCTTTGTATGTGTTTCGTTTTAGAAAAGTTTTGAAATTTTTTTAATATTTATTTAATATTTAGACATGTGGGGGAAAAAAAGGGGGGGAGAGGAATGAATTTAATTTTGAAAAATCTTTTTTAAATTTACAGAAAAAGACTACATAAACTTTTTAAAATTCGTATATTCCTCATTTTAATTTAATAATTGAAAAAACAAAATATAAATTCAAAAAATATTTTAAATATTTAAAATACTTTTCAACTATTATAAAAGTTTATATTACAAAATTTAAAGAATTTTTAAAAAGGAAAAAGAAAATAAATTAAAAAATAAAAGGTTTTGAATATTTAGAAATGAGAGAGAATAACATTCTTTGCATATATTCGTTCTTTGTGTGTTAAAATGAGGAAAAAAAGGAATTTCGTAATTTCCTGTTATAAACAGACAAAATATATCCATTTTTTTATTTAGTTAAATAAATGTTAATAATTAAAATATTTTTTTGAAAAGAAATATTTTCCAAATAATTTGCTTTTTATACGTCCAAACAAATTTTTATGCGTCCAATGTATGGCAATAAAAACATACCAGGTTCTTCGTTTTAGACTAATGGTAATTGTGTGGGTAGAGTCCCTTCTCGATACCAATAATTTTATGGTAAAAGGTACATATGTTTGTTTGGACGTCAAATTGGGACAAGAGCCCAGACTTTATAAATAATTAAAAAAATACAAAAATGAAGTGATTTTATGCACATTCTTATTAAAAATAATATTCAAAATAAAATCTGGATTAATTAAACCTTAAAAAATAAATACATGTATGTATAAGAAGATAAATTCTAAACAAAAATTTATGTAAAAATATTCTTTAATCTTTGAAAAGCTAAGACAGATTTTTGTCTTTAATTATAAATAAAATATAGTGTGTATACTCTGTCCCCATATTTAAAAATAATTTTTTCTAGACTGTTTGATCCAACAAAAGTTTTTAGCAAAAAATATGTTTATATTAGCAAACCAAAAATAATTCTTAATCTTTTTTTTATTTTTGTTAGATTCTATTCTTTGTGCTGCAATAAAATTAAGAAGTGGCTCTGCAGATGTTCTTTTTCTTTTTTATTTTACAAAAATTATTTTTGTAAAAATACCCCAATAAAAGTTAAATTTACACTATTATTTAAATAAATAGACAAAAAATTTATTTTATTTTTAAAATCTACAGATGGGGATAGAAGAAATAAAGAATTTTGTTGTCATTGATAAATAAAAGTTTTGTAAAAATTGTTTGTAAATAAATATGTATTTTTATTTTAAAAGCAGATAAAAACTGCTAAATAGAAAATAAAAATAGATGTTCGTACTATGTAAATTAAATTCTTTTTTAATTAAAAAATAATAGCTAAAATTTAAATTTATTTAGTACTGTCATCTCAATCCCTCTCTAATTAGAAAAATAGTTTACTTAATTTTTAGAAAAAATAAAAAGAAATTATTTAAAGTTTTGAAAATTATGATTAATTAATGAAAGAATACAAAAATTTTTTGCAGAAAATAAAAAGAATATAACTTGGGGGGTTTATAGAGAAATAAATACTTTTTTATTAAATGAAAAAAAAGAGTATTTTCCCATTACCTTTAAATAAATATTTTTAAGGTTTAAAGAGCGAAGAGCACATGGAATTATGGTGAGTTGATTTATAAAGAATATATAAAATCGGGGAAATAAACAACAAAAAAATTATGGGAATTACTATATTAGATAAAGAAAAAATAATTATTTTTGATTAAGAAAAGAGGGGGGAGGTTTTCAATGAAAATAATTTACCTAAATAGAAAGAATAACATTGAAAGGAATTTTGTAAATTTTTAATTGATTAATTAATTTTAAGAAAAGAAAAGGATGGAGAAAATTAAAATAATTGGGGCTATTTTAAGAGAGTATTTTTGAGTGTTTTTATTTAATTTAATTTAAATTTCACACTCAATATTTCTTTAATGGAATTTTTGACAAAATTAGGGCTTAATTTAGTATATAAATTTTGTAAACCTTTAAGACTTTTCCGCCATTGTTTGTTTGTATTACTTTACTGATTAAAAAGGATGAATGTTTATGGGAAAAATTTTAAATAGAACATAGTCCAATGTTTAATTAGTTTAACTCTACATATTCTATTTTATATTAGAAAAACATGATTAGAATTGTTAGATATGTACATAATTTTTTGTAAAGATAGCTATTTTTTATAAAATATTTCTTAGAAAATTTCTTATAAAAATATTTTTTTAATAATTTTGAATACTTTTAAAATTAGCATTTTAAATATGTAATTAAAAGAAAAAAATTAATTTTAATAGTAAACTTTTAAATTTAAAATTTGATTGAATTTAAATTTTGATTTATCAATGAGAAATTAATTTGTTAAATAATTAATTTAAAAATTTTCTTTGAAAAAATTAAATTCATTTTCTTTAAATTAAGGAAATTATCAATTTGTCAAAAAAAAGTTTAAAAAGACAAAAAACCATTTGCGTGAAATAATCAACAAGAACACAACTTTAAATTTAATAAACCTAACTAAAATATAAACAAAGTTATAATTCATTCTCTTTTTTTATTTCCTCTTCTCTATTAAAAAAAATTTTTTGAAAACAGTTTTCTGCAACAATTTATGCACCAAATAAATTTTAGAATCTTATACAAAAATATATAGCATAATCAAAAATATTTATTTTTTTGTAAAATATATTTAGCATTGAAAAAGTCAACGGGAGAAATTATAAAAAGAAATGAATACATTTCCTTATGTTTAATTAAGGGTTGTTCAAGACCGATTTCAAAATCTAAAATCGGAAATACCGGAAAATAATCGGTCGTGAACAACCAAAATATTTAAATAAAAAAATTACTCAAAAAACTATTTAAAGGTCAATTTTTACTTTTATATTTAATTAAAAATTCAACTTCTTTCCACTATGAGATTAAGCAAATTAAATATATAGATAAGCAAGAAAAAATCAGCTTAGAAGACAAAACGATTTTCCACAGGGAAATTTAATTTGTCCAAGGCCGGATTGCAAGCATAATTAATCTTTTAAAAATTATTTTAATTTATAAAAAAATAGAAAATTCTTTACCATTGGAGGAGGCCCGCACATCAGAACAGCCGAACCAACATTTTGAATAGGCAAGTGTTCGGCAATCATTTGCTCATTAACAAATCCTTCAGAATAAATCCAATGCTCGCCAGGAGAGCGGTCAACAGTGTACCAAACACGAAAACGAGTTGGATTTTCAGCGGCAAGAAAGTCCAATTCCTCCCTAGATAAAAATTCAGAAAAAATATTTTAAAAATTAATGAAATTTTTATCAGTTATTTCTTGTAAAAAGGATATCTAAATTTAAATTGTTTGTCAACAATTTTGTCTAAATATTAGGTTGTAACATATTTAGTTGCCGTTTTTTTCAAGAAGGCATAAGGGCATAAGATTCTTAACGTAATTACATGTTCTATATACCAATTTGAAGCCCAGGATCTGCTCTTTAATCTTACATATGGATTTTTTTCGTTTCATGTCTTATACTCGTTTCAGGACCTCTAGAATACCCCTAACTCGGAAAGCATTTTTAGAGCTTTTGCGGAAAATTTCATAATATAAACAGAAATAAACCAATCCAAGAGAAATTTTTTATATAAGTTCTTCATGGGTTTGACTATCAATTTATTAAATCTGAGATTTTTTGGTTAGGTATTTCAAAAGTTATGGTCGAAAAAGTCGAATCAGGCATATTTTACAAATTTCAAATTTTCTTGAAAAATTTTATGATTTGATATGACTTGTAATATACCATTCGAAAGCCCTTTCTGAGTAACACAAGATAGTATTAACAAAATTTTATAAAATTTTTAAATTAAATTTAAATTTACAAAAAACCCTTGTGTCAAATAAAGGAAAAAACGAGTAGACATTCCCCCAAAAACTCAAAATTTTGAACTTTGCGCAAAATCATCCGATTTGGATAATTCGAACGGTATTCAGAAGCCCTCGCAGTTCCATATGAGAAACTAAACCGAAAATACTTTTTTGGTTCTAGGATAAGGTCTAACACAGGGGTCGAAAATTTCGACTTTTTTCTCGTTCGAATTTTTAAAATTTTCTTTTTTTCGCTAGTTAGAGCATTTGAAGAGCTTTCGATTGATATATCACATGCCAACCATTTACCAATAATTTTCGAGATATTTCGATATATTTGCTAAAAATCAGTAATTTGACTACCCCGAATTTTTCGACCACAACTCTTACTATACTTAACAAAAAATTTTAAAATTTTAGAGGCTGTTAGAGGAAAGTCTAATTAGTATATGTACAAAAATTCATGATCATAGACCACAAATCTATAAGAATTCAGACCCCGAAACTTTTAATAAAAAACGGCAACTAAATATGTTACAACCTAATAAAAATATACTAATTAATTCCCACAAAATAACCAATTATTTAAAATTATTCCAATTTTTCTGAAATTTAACTAACTTCAACAAAATGTCAGCTTCCGTTTGATTGGCAAAAAGCAAAGAAATCTTGGTTGGGTCTTCAGGATGTTTAAGTATTTCTCTAATTAACTAAATAAAAAATATTTTATTCTTCAAAATATATTCCAAAATATTACCTGCAACATCGGTGTTATGCCTGTTCCCCCAGCAATAAGTCCAATCTCATCAAAGTGTCGAGGCACTGATGGACCTTTCTTTGTTGCTTTGATTGCAAACTTTCCATTTCCTTTGTAATGAATTAGACCATTCGGTCCGCGAAAGTCAAGAGTATCACCTTTAAATTTTAAAAAAAATTAAAAAAATGAAACAAGAAATCTTCAAGTTTTTAACCGATTTTAAGGCTATCCATATGTTGAGACATTTTTCCTCCATCAGGGAATTTGGGGTGGACATTCCGATGGTAGACCTAAAAATATTTTTTTTTAATTTAAATTTAATTTTTAAATTAATAAAAAATAACCTTAATAATGAATTCAACAAAACCCTTCTCGTCATCGCTAGTGACAGGAGTGTACGGCCGAATTACAATTTTTTCGTCAATCTATGAAGTTTTTGAAATTAATTATTAAATATCTATTTAATTACCTTAGCGCTAACATAAATAAATTGTCCAATCGGCAGTCCAAGGACGTGATTCTCACTCGGCAATGCAAAGCGAAAACGTCTAAAATTGTTAAGTTTAGTTGAAAATTAATTTTAAGAATGTAAACTAAATAACATGAGAGAATAAAAGATATTTTACATATATTAAATGGAAAGTTTAAATATTGAATAGTAAACAATAAAACGGAGTCCTTGCTAGGTTCTAGTAAAGTTTTTGCATAAAAATAAAATAAATTTCACCTTGTGTCATGCGAAACCTCCTCTTTTCCAATCAATTTCAGCGCATATTTCTCTTCAGAATTCTCCAATGTTATCGGTCCTTTGGTCCTTTGGCCATCACACCCTTTGCACTTTCGGAAAAAATAAATTACAGCCAAAGTACAAATTGTAATGCCTGAGACTACAACCACTTGATTAAATGAAATGTCATTAATGCTTCGAAGCTTCATTTGTTCTGACTTAAAAATTAAATTATTTGAATATGTTTATTTTCCCTTTATTTTGAATAAAACCTACATATAAAGGTTCATCCATTTTTAGAAAAAAATTGTAATTTTAAAATTAACTACTATTTAAAAATTAAAAAAAGTGAACAACAAAAATTATTTTTCTTCTTATAAAATGGGACCACCCAAAAATAATAAAAATAAAAAGAAAATATAAATGTACTCAAATTGTTTAAAAATGAAAATTAAATTTAAAAATATTTAATTTTAAATGTTTATAATTTTCAAAACAAAAAAATAATTTTAAATAAAACGCTTTATTCAATAAACCAATTAATTAACAAACAACAATACAGAAGCGCGTAACTTTTTTGATTTGTCTTTTTTATGATGATGATAGTGGCAAATTTGTTGAGAAAAAAAAGTAAAGAATATTTAAATTAGGGAAAAAGAATCCAAATGTAGATAAATACTTTAATTTGTTTTTCCCCTTCCCCTTTAATTTCCCCAATATGCCTTCAATCTTAACTTTAAAACAACAAATAATCAATAAAAGATTAAATTACATTTTAACAGGCATAAGGGAAATCGTTTAAAAAAAGGGAAACAATCTCTCGTATATTATCTAAAGATATATCAAAAAGTGTAGGGATTTGGCCAAATAAAATTTACTTTGTTGGTTTAAATTTTTATAAAGAGAAAATTAGTTGTTTAAATGTCAAAAACAGAACAAAAATTATTTTTCTTAAATTATTTCCCCATATTTTCGAATAAAATCATTTATTTTTGACACTTAAAAAATAATTTTCAAAAATTAAAAACCAACAAATTAATGCACCAAAAAAACAAAACAATTTCTATATCCTACAATAATTATTCATTTTAACGAATAACAAATCAGAAAAGGCGGAAGATTTAAATATTTAATTAAATTTTGTAGAATTGACTGAGCCAAATGTCAATAACCACAAAATTATTTTCTTTTTTTAATTGATCTTCATCGGGGATTTTAAAAAAAATTTAATATTCGCTCAGGTCTATGCCATCAATTCCTTTCTCTATATCTTCCATTTGCGGAATTTCAACTTGATATCGCAATATACCTTTAATATATCAAAATTATTTTTCTCATCTTTAAAAAAATAAATAACCTCCTAAACCACCAAAACCGCGTACAAATTGAGCACCTTCTTGTGATTTATCGCTAACAATCTCTAGAGTAGCGCCAAATTTTTTATAATTGTCTGCCAACCATTCAAGAAGAGAAACATTTGTATCAGTTTCATATGTGTTGTTTTGTGTGTTCTAAAGGACAAAAAATAAAAGAAATCTTTTAACTGAAATAACCTCAGAATCTGCAGAATCAGCAGGAGTGTCAGAAGTTTTTTCTGCTGACGGCCTGAAATAAATTATTCTTGTAAAATTTATTAAGAAACTACACCTATTAATAGCCAAATTCTCCCAACAAATAAGTGTTTCAACTGCTCCCATTTCCAAAGCAGTGAGTGTCTCCTGAACACCATAGATTGCTTTGTTTGTGTCACGAGAAATTTCATCAAAGAAAGAACCAATTAATTTCTTTTCTTTGATAAATTTAACATCAGTTAGAGTATCTGCCGCCAGTTCAATTGCCTCGTTAAATCCGCTCTCTCCGCCATAGGAAATATCGACAGTTTTAATTATTTTTGCCTAAAAATTATATTAAAAAATCATTTCACGAAAAAAACAAACTTGAAGCCTTTGATCAAACATATCAGATTGTCCCAATTCTGTTTTGAATTGTGCACTTCCAGCAAGAACCAGACCAGAAACAATAACTTTGTCATTCTTTATATACATTTCAACAGCTGCTTCTGCTACTTTTCTGAGATAATTGTGTCGCTTTTCCATTCTTAATCGAGCAAATCTCAAAGCTGATTGTCCACCTCGACCATGCTTTTTTGGCAATTCAACAGAGAATTTGTGTAAAATTTCTTTTGCGTTCCCTTGAAGTGTTCCGAAAAGACACCCACTTCCATCCATAATGATAAATCCAAATTTGTTGTCATCGATCAAAAGGTCTAAAAAATTTTTTTAACAATTAAAAGCTTATTTGTAACCGTTAAGCGGCTCTGTATGAAATTTGTTGTCACACAAGTAAAGTGAAGTATTAACAGGTTTGAAAGGCTCAAAATCGATGTTAACCTTCCTTTCTTTTCCATCTTCAGTAAGAATTGTGCCACAATAGACTACCAGACCATTCTCAGGCACTTAAACAAAAAATTATTTAAAAAAAGTCATTTTAATACTAAATAAAATTAGATTTTAGAAAGAATTTTGTATTTGGAAAGAGTTCTAACCTCTATTATATAATTTTAGTCGAGCCTGTACTGAAGTGATTGCAGCCAAAACAGACTGTCTGTTTACACGAGACTTAATGTTCGATGCTGTCCCAAATTCATCAGCAAGCATTTTCTGTACTCGTGGAATTTGGTCCTTTGGTGGAATGATCAATGAAATCATTGATGTACCATTACTTTAAAAAAATAAATATAAATTTTACAAAAATGTTGTTTACCCTCTAGCTGCTTCCAAGGACTTGATTAGCCTCTTAATCTTCCACATTTCGACATCAGATTCCGCCATTACTGCTGATATATGAAAATCGGTAAATTAAATTTTAATCACAGAGAACCTCAGGCACCTTGACTAATAAAAATAAAAAATTATTATTTGCCCTAGGAATTAAAGTAGTAAAGGTCGATTCAGAGTAACCGATTCAATGGCCGGTTAAAAGTAGTAGCCTTCCTGATTTTTGACCGATTCAAATAATTCTCATATTATTCGAAGACTAAACATTAAGAATCTTTTTCATGATTGGACTAATCTAATTTGATAAAAAGTTACAACCGGAAAATAATTTCGGGAAAATGTGGGAAAATAGCCTACGCGTTACTAGCATGTAAATGAGGGGGTAACAACACTAATCCAGAGCTTTTTGATTAATATAAGTTTTGGGCATATCCCTCGTTTTGGGCGTGTCCCTCCAATTCCGGAATCCCCTCTGATTCCGGAATTTATTTGTGAAATATTAACATAATGACAATCCAGCGAAAATTCAAATAATTACTGTTTATGCTAGTCAATTTGTCGCCAGATTTTTCAGAGTTTTCCCTCTAAGTGTAAATATTTACTTTTTAAATTCGCCAATTAGCAATAGCCACGGTTTACTTGCGATTAAGTTTAAGTAACTGATATTTTTTTAGCAAAAATTAATCATTTTTAACTACTACTTTTTCTTTTTTTTCAGATAAATATGAAAAGATGTTTCTATTTATTTTTATTCTCCATCATATTTATTCTTATTAGGAGCGATGAACCAACTATAGAAAATGGAATTTATGTTCTTACTGATAATAATTTTGACTCTTTTCTAGAAGAACATCCAACAGTTTTGGTTGAATTTTATGCCCCTTGGTGTGGCCACTGCAAAGTATTTTAATTTCATTTTTTTATTATATATATATATAATAGTTTTTAAACTCAGACAAAAAAAACTTCAGCGGTCCCAATTTTGGTCGTACCTCCCTGAAACTTGCACATTGTTCATGGTTGTTAACGAGGCGCATCCGAAATAATTATTGATTTTTCCCTACGCCGGCGCCTTCGCGCCGAAACGACCCCTGGGACCTGGCTATCTCGTGAACCGGAAGAGATAGCGAAAAACTTCCGCTTAGAGGGCCCTGACCCGCATTTAGTAGATGTCGAATAAAAAAAAATTTCGAAAAAATTCGAACTCTAAGATACGATATGCTTGTCTAACCCTTTTTAAATGGTGGTCAAATGTCGTGCCATAGGGTAGCGGTCTTTGTACAATTTCTATATCTCTGAAACCACGCCGCAGATTTGGATGGGACCTGGGGGTATTAGGTAAACGGCCATGAGAAATTTAATGGGCATGGCCATTTTGGTGCCGCACTCGAGTGTGGCACTGAAATGGCCGGATGAAAATTTCAAAGGCTTATAACGGGTTTTTGAGAAGTGGGGGGTTCTTGGGCCTGGGAGTGATGTTGGAGGGTAGAGTGTTGGGAAGTTATCGGGTGTTGAACACTTGAGTCTCAGATGAAGTTTTGGGGGTCATATGGGTCAGAGTCGGGGTCGAAAAACCTACTTTTTGTAACGTGAATTAAAACGCGTTTTCGATAGCCAGTTCGAAAGAGCGTGCCGTGGGGCTCCGAAAAAGGTATAATATGTTGGGGGTCCACTTGAGTCTTAAAAAGTTATAGCGAATGTGGCCAAATGTCGCAAAACTTTATGAGACTCTAACGTCCCGGGGAAATTTTTTAAAATTTTTTCGAGGCCGGATTCGTACTCAGCGCATGTCAGAGTACCATATAGGCCTATTTTTGACCCAAAATTCCAAAATTTTGTCCCCCACCCTATTTCCAATGGGGGGAACCCCTTTTGGGGAATTTTCGGGATTTTTTAGGGGACCTTAACTTTTTTTGGGACTATCGGATTGGGATGGGGTTTACTTTGAAAAATAGAGTAAAAAATTAGGTATTTTTTCACCGAAGAAAATTTCGAAAAAATTCGAAATTGGAGGTGTAAGGGTCGAATTTCGAAAAATCCAAAATTTTTCGGTTTTTCGAAAAAATTTCTGGATTTTTGCCGGCGGTAAGGGGCATAGGTATTTTTTCTTGATAGAGCAGATTTTTCTGCATAGAATTAGCTTTTAAAATTATCAAAAAAGATTAACTTTGAGAAAGTTATGATTTTTTGAAAATTTCGGCGATTTTTACGGCCAAAATTTTCGGCCAAAAAAATAATTTTTGCAAAATGGCCACAGATGGGCCAAATGTTATATCAATCGAAAGGTCTCATCGAGCTGAGCTTAAAAATATTTTTTTCGAAATTTTCTGACCATTTTGTACAAAGTTACAAAAGGTCGAAATTTCGGGTGTGGGTGGTACTATACCCAGTGGGGTAACCAAAACGTTGGGACCCAAAATGGTGCCCAACGGTGGGGAGGGGGGAGACGAGGGCCGAAGGCCCGAAGTGACCAAAATGAGTCCCAACGGTGGGGAGGGAGGGGACGAGGGCCGAAGGCCCGAAGTGACCCAAAATGGGTCCCAACGATGTGGCGGGTGAGAGAAGTGACCCAAAATGGGTCCCAACGATGGGGAGGGGGAGAGACCGAAGTGGCCCAAAATGGGTCCCTACGGTGGGGAGGGAGGGGGGGACGAGGGCCGAAGGCCCGAAGTGCGCCAAATTGTAAAAATGAGTCCCAACGGTGGGGAAGGGGGGGGGGGACGAGGGCCGAAGGCCCGAAGTGCGCCAAATTGTAAAAATGAGTCCTAACGGTGGGGAAGGGGGGGGGGGACGAGGGCCGAAGGCCCGAAGTGCGCCAAATTGTAAAAATGAGTCCCAACGGTGGGGAGGGGGGGGGGACGAGGGCCGAAGGCCCGAAGTGCGCCAAATTGTAAAAATGAGTCCCAACGGTGGGGAAGGGGGGGGACGAGGGCCGAAGGCCCGAAGTGCGCCAAATTGTAAAAATGAGTCCCAACGGTGGGGAAGGGGGGAGGGGGACGAGGGCCGAAGGCCCGAAGTGACCCAAAATGGGTCCCAACGATGTGGCGGGTGAGAGACCGAAGTGACCCAAAATGGGTCCCAACGATGGGGAGGGGGAGAGACCGAAGTGGCCCAAAATGTGTCCCAACGGTGGGGAGGGAGGGAGACGAGGGAGACGAAATTGAAAAATGGGTCCCAACGGTGGGGAAGGGGGGGACGAGGGCCGAAGGCCCGAAGTGCGCCAAATTGTAAAATGAGTCCTAACGGTGGGGAAGGAGGGGAGGGGACGAGGGCCGAAGGCCCGAAGTGACCAAAAATGGGTCCCAACGATGTGGCGGGTTAGAGACCGAAGTGACCCAAAATGGGTCCCAACGATGGGGAGGGGGAGAGACCGAAGTGGCCCAAAATGTGTCCCAACGGTGGGGAGAGAGGGAGACGAGGGAGACGAAATTGTAAAAATGGGTCCCAACGGTGGAGAAGGGGGGACGAGGTCCGAAGGCCCGAAGTGCGCCAAATTGTAAAAATGAGTCCTAACGGTGGGGAAGGGGGGACGAGGGCCTAAGGCCCGAAGTGCGCCAAATTGTAAAAATGAGTCCCAACGGTGGGGAAGGGGGGAGGGGGGACGAGGGCCGAAGGCCGGAAGTGCGCCTTGTACGCCCGACGCGATGCCCATTTAAAAAATGGAACCAAGCACCTCCCATCTAAAGAAAGGACCGATCCATCTAAAAGGAAGGGTGCCCTTCTTATTTCAAAAAATTTCTAAATAAACTAAAACATTTAACGTAAATCTCCAAGCAAACAATAAACCTAGCACAGTTTTAAAGCCGCAGGCTTTCAACGCGCGTCCATGGACGCGCCTCCAATTATAAATAAACGCTTCCCCGACGTAACTAAATTTTAAAGCTATCAAACCCATTCAGCTATTTATCCTGCAGCTAGTTAAATATAAATTTTTGAAGCAACTCGCACCAGAATATGAAAAAGCTGCCGAAGAACTTGGTGATAGTGTTCCTTTGGCTAAAGTTGATGCTACCGTTGAGAAAATTTTGGCCGAACGCTTTGAGATAAATGGATATCCTACTCTTAAATTTTGGCAAAAAGATCATGAACCGATTGATTATGATGGCGATCGTGATGCTCAGGGTATGTAAATTTTTTTTAAAAATAATTGTTATAATTTTAGGGATTGTAAAATGGCTAAAGGAAAAGACCGATCCAGATTACAAGCCTCCACCTGAAGAAGTTATTGCATTAAATGAACAAACGTTTGACGATTTTTTGGGTTCAAATGCTCTTACATTGGTCGAATTCTATGCACCTTGGTGTGGACATTGCAAAGTATTTTTTTAAATATTGATAACAATTTTCAATATTTTTACTAGAAACTTGCTCCTGAATATGAAAAAGCAGCGATACGGCTTAAGGTATTTTTCCTTTATATATCTGTTTATTTTAAATAAATAGGCGCATGGCATTCCTCTGGCAAAAGTTGATGCAACTATTGAGAAGAAATTAGCCGAGCTATATGATGTTAAGGGGTTTCCAACGCTTAAGATATTTCGAAATGCCCGTCGCTTTGATTATGATGGTCCAAGAGATGCCGATGGTTTGTTTTTTATTAATATTTTTATTAAAAACGTTAATATCTAGGAATTGTCAATTATATGATTGAACAGTCAAAACCAGCTGTGAAATACTTGAATCATTCCTCCACGGACAAATTCATTTCTAATAATGACGTGACTATTGTTGGATTTTTCGATTCAGAAAATGGTTCTCTTTATGACGCTTTTGTGGATGCAGCGGAGAGAACTCGTGCCGATTTTTCTTGTTATTATGTAACTGATCCTTCTGTGATTAAAGAATTTAAAGTAAAGGCGGGGACAATTACAATTTTCTATCCAAAGGTTTTTAAGTTTTATTTCTTAATTTTTATAAATTTAGTTGTTTGTCTCAAAATATGAAAAGAGCACTAAAGATTTTCCAAAGGTTTTTATTTGTAATTTTATTTTCTAATTAAATTTTAGTCAACAGCTACTACAGAAGAATTGCTGACTTTTTACCGTGAAAACGCAACACCCCTTGTTGGGCATATGACAAGAATAAATTCGGCTACTCGTTATTCTCGCCGTCCTTTGGTTGAAATTTTTTATTTTAATTTTTAAAATTATTCTAAGGTTGCTGTTTACTACAACGTTGACTTTTCGCTTGTTTATAGAGATGGGACTCAATATTGGCGTAATAAAGTTGTCGATATTGCACATAAAGTGTTATTATAGTTTTATCAAAATATTTTTACATTTTTAGTACAAAGGAAAATTTTATTTTGCTGTTGCAGATGAAGAAGAATTTGCAAAAGAATTGGAAGCTGTTGGACTTGGTTTGTTAATTTTGAGTATTTAAAATTTAATTTTTTTAATTCTAGGAACAAGTGGGTTAGAACAAAATGTTATTATTTTTGGGGTTGATGGCAAAAAATACCCAATGGATCCTGATAAATATGATGAAGATTTGGAAGAAAATTTAATTGCATTTTTGAAAGACTTTGGAAAAGGTTTGATTTTAGAATTATTTTTTAAATAAAATTAATTTTTAGGGAAAGTAAAGGCACATTTAAAGAGTCAACCAATCCCCAAAGCTGATAAAGGACCCGTTTTTACTTTAGTTGGTAATAATTTTGAAACAATTGTTAATGATGAAAGCAAGGATGTTCTCATTGAGGCTTATGCTCCTTGGTTAGATTTATTTGAGAAAAAGCTTTATAATTTTTCATTTTAAAAGGTGTGGCCATTGCAAAGCATTCGAACAGCCTTATAAACAATTCGCTACTAAATTGACAAAACAAGAGCCAAATTTAATTTTTACTAAAATTGATGCTACAGAAAATGATTTACCCGAAAAATATAAAGTTGAAGGATTTCCAACTATTTTCTTTGCTCCAGCAGGCAAAAAAGATGATCCAATTAAATATACTGGAAATAGGGATTCCAATGATTTGTTGAAATTTCTTAAAGATAATGCTGTTAAAAGTTTCCAGTCAGAGAGGGAAAAAGACGAGCTTTAAAGAAGGGAAAATTATTTTTATTTAAATATTAATTTATATATTTTTTTATTTTTGGGGAAGAGTTTTACATTTGAGCAATATTAAATTGTTAATTTACTAAAGTTTTTTTTAATTTTTTTAAATCTTATGAAACTTTCTCATGCTCTCTCGTGCACAACTTCAAGTGACTATCAGGAATTTAGTTCTCTTAATAATTTTTTAGAAATATAAATTCGTTTTTTACATAGTAGTTATGAGAAAGTCTCCATTAATATAAATTTTAATTTTTAATCTCATTTTTGTGTCCAATTTTTAACTGTTGGGGGTTTTTTTAATTTTTGTTTTCTTTCAGTTTTAAATATAATTTATTTTTTATCAAGCTGTGTTATATAAAATAAGAATAATATAATTTTTTATTTTTCTAGAGTTTGATTAATTATAATTTAAATATATCTTTAATAATTATTTCTTTTAATCTTTAATTTTACAAATTAAAGTTTTTAAAAATGTCTGACAATGAAATAAATTCAGATGAGAATTTAATGTCAGTGGATTCGAGTGAAGAAGATAGTAATGATAGTGATGATGAAGAGTCTTCTATGAAAGGTCAAAAGAATGAAGTTGGAAATTTAAAAATCAATAAAAAATGGACAGATCGGGAACGTGTACTTTTGCTTTGTTCGCGAGGTTCTGTTGCTCGAACAAGACATTTGATTAACGATTTAAAAAGGTTTGCAAAATTATTTTATTTGCATGATTAGGTTAGTTTGGGATTACTTATATTTTCACATCTGATTTTTGAATCTCCTATCCCATTTTTCTTTAATGAAAGGGAAAATGAATTTCAAGAAATCGGTAATTTTTGAATACATATTTGGTTTATTTGATTGTGGTTTCAGCGAAGGGTTTTATTTTGTAATAATCATGTTATAATATTTTTTATTCTAAAAATTTAAAGATTAATGCCACATATTCGTTCCGAAGCCAAATATGGGAAAAGTAAATCAATGGCTGATGATTTAAATGAAATGAGTGAATTGGCTAATTGTACTAAATGTCTTTATTTTGAAAGTCGAAAGGGAAGAGATGTTTATTTGGTAAAATTTTTATTTTTAAATATTGTTTTTTTAATTTTTTTTAGTGGATGTCTCACATAGATGGGGGACCTTCAGCCAAATTTTTGGTTCGAAATTTACACTCAATGAATGAATTAAATATGATTGGAAATTGTCTTAAAGGTTCTCGTCCAATTCTTTCATTTGATCCAAAATTTGATGAAAAACCTCATTTAAATATAATTAAGAATTTGTTATTTAATGTAAGGATTTTTAGTCTTATTTTTTAATTTTTTAAATAATTTTTTAGATTTTTAAAACTCCAAATCATCATCCAAAAAGTCAACCATTTATTGATCACGTTTTTAATTTTGCTTTAACAGTTGATGAAAATATTTGGTTTTAATTGATTATTATATCTTTAAAAAATAATTATTTTTAAGGTTTCGTAATTATCAAATAATTAATGAAAAGGAAAATGAACTTCAAGAAATTGGTAATTTTTAAATAAATATTTAATTGAATTTTAAATGGAAATTTGGAATTTTATCCCCCAAAAACTTTTTTCTAATTTAAAAGGTCCTCGATTTGTTCTTCAATTAATTCGTATTTTTGATGGGTCTTTTTGTGGAGCAGTACTTTATGACAATCCAGAATATTTAAGTCCGAATCATTTTAGACGTCAATTAAAATTACAAAAAGCTGCTGAATTTAATTTAAAAAATCAACAAAAAGAAGAACAAAAAATTAAAGAAAAAATAATTAGAGAAGTTAAATTAGACGATCCAATTGGGGAAGTTTTTAATACAAAAGGAGAAGAAGATGATGATGAAAATATGGAAGAAGATAAAGTTGAAGAAGAGAAGAAGAAGAAAAAGAAAATTAATATTAAAAATAATCAAGAATTAAATGCTGCAAAAACTTTGAGACGAAAAATTTTGAAAGGTCGAATTAAAAAGAAAAAGGGTAAGAAGGCAATTAAGAAATAAAATATTTGTTGAATATTTATTTTATTTTTTTGATATTAAAAAAATAAAATTTTATTTTGTTGATTATTTTTATGAAACAATTTTGTTATCAATTTTTTCATAATTATTAGAAATATCATACTATTTATCTACTTATTTAAAAGCAATTTTCTGTTATAGTTTTAATTATAAATTAATTCTAAAATGTTATCTGAACGTGCTATAAAAGGATTAAATATTCCTTCCCAAAGTTTTTATTTAAATAAACTTTATAATGAAGATCCTTTTAATGAAAAAACAAATGAAATGGTTGGAAATGAATTTTAAAAAATTATTTTAAAATTATTTTTGAAGGGATATATTCGACTTTCTTGTGCAGATAATTCTTTAAGTTCAGATTTAATATTTGAAAAGTTTCGTTCAATAAATTGGCAAAAATTTGAAGAAAATAAACTTTTGCATTATCCAAGGGAAGGGGGAGAATTGAGGTGATAAAATTAAAAAAAAATATTTTTAAAAATATTAATTCCCTCCTTAAACTCTTGAATTTTTCTTAAAATTTATTTTATTAATTTTTAAGCACTTTAACTTCTGCAGCAAATTTTATAAACAAATTTTGTCGAAAAGGACTTTCTCCTCTTTCTCCAGAAGAAGTTAAAATTTATTTAAATTTAAATTCTGATTTTTTTAGTTAATAATTATTTCTGGTGTTACAATGGCTTCTGATATTCTTAGTCAAATTTTATTTAATTCTGGTGATTCTGTTTTAACTCCAGCACCTTTTTATTATCGTTTTGTTAATGATTTTGGAGAAAGAGGGCTTGTTAATGTGTAGGAAATATAATAAATATTTTTAATTTAAAAAAAATTAGAGAAATTGTTCAAACTTTGACAGAAAATGGATTATTAGATCTTTCTGTTGAACGATTTGAGGAAGCTTTTTTGAAGGCAAAAGTAATTATTGTTAATCTTATTTTTAAATGGGGAGGAATTGAGTGATTTTAGACTAAATTTAAAATATTGTTTAGAAAGAGAGAAATTAAATTAAAATTCCTTTTATAAACAATCAAAAAATTATTTTCAGGGAAAAGTCAGCGCTATTTTAATTGTAAACCCTCAAAATCCAGATGGCTGTTATTTTACTTTAAATCAGCTTAAACCAATAATTGACTGGGCATTAAAGTAATCCCCTTAAAAGAATTTCATTTTCAAAAAAAGTTTTTCTTTTAAAGTAAAAATCTTTTTATTATTTTGGATGAAGTTTATAATTTGTGTATTTATGAGAAAGAACAAATTAATAATTGTTGTTTTGAAAGTGCTGTTAAATTATTTAAAACTCCCGAAGAATTAAATAAAATGATTTGGGTTTGGAGTATGAGCAAAGTTTTTTTTGAAAATAATTTCCTTTTAAAAATTATTTTTAAAAAAGGTTTTCTCGATTCCTGGACTTAGAGCAGGTGTATTTTACACAAAAAATAAAAAAATAAAAGAAGCTGTTACTAAATTTGTGGTGAATTTTTGTTTTTTGTTTAATAACGAGGGGAACTTTTTAATTATTTTTTCTTACTTTAATTTTAATAATTCCTTCTCTTGAAAAATTTCAGCTAAACTCTATTATTAGCTAAACAAAATTTCTCCAAAAACCCCCTCCCTTTAAAATAATATTTAAAATTTAATAATTAATTAGGCGTTTACTCAACCAAATTGTGTAACACAATTTATTATGAGACACTTTCTAGATGATCAAGGTGTTAAAAAACTTTAAACTATTTTAAATAAATTTTTTTAATTTAAAAGATTGGTTCGAAAAAGTTTATTTATTTGAGAATTTACGTCGTCTCAAAAATACAAGGGATAAATTGCTTTTATTTTTGGAAAATCAAAAAATTCCTTTTATTAAACCAAAATCTGGATTTTTTGTTTTAACTGATTTTTCTAAAGTTTTTTTAAATAAAAATCTTTTTTAAAATTAAAATTATTTTTAGTTTATGGATGAACAAACAATTGAAGGAGAAAGAAGACTTGTTGAACGTTTTATTATAAAAAAAGTTCTTTTAAATTCTGGGGAAGAAATAAAGTTTTTAGAAATTGAAAAATTAGAAAGTTTTTTAATTTTTAGAGCTCCTAAACCTGGATGGTTTCGAATTGTTTTTTCGTCAGTTAATTTTTCAACACTAGAAAAAGGTTAAAAAAGGAAGTTTAAATATATTTTTGTAATTTAACTTCAATTATCTCCCAACATTTTTTCTCCCTTTTCCTTTTTATCTCCTTTCTAGAAAATAAATTATTTGAAAACTAATTTTCAAACAAAAATTATTAAAAGTAAAAAAACATTTCTGTGGCCAGACACCACAAATTTTGCTAATTTAAAAAAAATGCCTCGTTGTTCCTCTAAAAAGTTGTGGTGGAAATAAAGGAAACTTGGCTTAAGTCGACCACAGAAATATTTTTAAACTTGTTAATTTTAACCTAATCTTTGTCTAACCATCACTACAAAGGAGAAGAAAGGTGAAGAAAAAATGAGAAAATCTGGGAGATAATCGGATATCTAAATCCTTTTCTTAGGATTTCAACGAATAACTGAAGCAATTCAAGAAACAAATTGAAAAGAGAAAAAAATAAAATTTAAATATTCTGCATTGTATTTATTTTTTAAATATGTAAATTGCAAACAAAAAAATAATAAATTCAAAAAATAATTAATCAGAATCTTCACTTGAAAATGCTTTTAAGAATTTTTTAGTTCCTCGACCTTTCGAACGAATTTTAATTCCACCAAGTTCCAAATTTTCTGGTGGCTTCTCATCAGATATTGTGGGAGGATGTGGAGATTTTTCTTCTTCAAAAAATCGTGTATCCTTAAAAATATTTGTAATAATTTTATTTTTATTTTATTTATACATGTTCATAATCCCAATCCAATTCCTTCCCTTTTTCATCGAATACATCCAATCCTGGACGTATTTTTGTGTTTTTGTAGTTGTATTCACCTATAGTTTAAAAAAATAATTTTCCTTTAAGGGAAAGATAATACCGTCATTTTCCCAATTTTTAGCCGTATATATAGCATGTCTAAGCTCAACTCCATTTGCTAAGCGCACATAAATAAGCTTGTCAGCAGGCACATGTTGAACAACAACCCTCCATTTACCTTTAATTTAATCCTATTAAAGATATTATTTATCGACAAAATCCACCTTGAGGAACTTTTACAGTATCCACATTAACCTCTACTGCTTCTGAATTTATTTGACGCGAACGTGCCGAACAATTCTTTGGAGCATTGCCTTCTAAAATTTTTTAAGAATTTAAGGGAAGGGGGGGGGGATACTTTTACACACCTTTAACAATAGCAACATCATCTCCACCCTCTTCCTTTACTTGTCCTTCTTCCTCTTCTTCATCAGAACTATTAACTAATTCACCTTCTTCTGGCTTTTTAAGTGCACGTACACGTCTCAAAGGTTTTGTCATATCAAGCAATAACTTTAAACAAAAAAAATTTGTTTAATTAGAACATTTAAATACTTGAGCTGCTTCAATAGCATTTGCAAAAGTTACTATAAATGCAGTCAATGGCTTTGTTTGAAATGGTCGAACAGTTTCTGGTTTGAATGAAGCAAAAATTCTGAAAAAAGTAGTAGAAAATTCTTATTATCCCCCCCCCCATTAAAATTGCAAAAACAAAATTAATTTTTAATTTTACTAAAAATTTTCTTTCCATTTTTATTTTTCTTTTTGTGTACTTTTCAATTCACAATATTTTTTCCCTTTTTTCTTCAAAAATTTGTCAGTCTAAAATATTAGCCCAATACTGCCATAAAAATATTCATTGTATTTTTTCACTCATTTCATTCATCCATGCATATATACATATTTTGAGTTTTACCTCCTCTCGTGCTCCCGGGCCATTTGCCTTATATAAATTTCAAAGGCTTTTCGAGATGGGGTGCTTTCCCTCCTTTTTGCTTTTTGGCTCTATCATGGGCGTGCATGCTGTGTTAGTCCCAAAAAGAGTGGTTGGCGCTTTTACTCGGGACTTGAAATCAATATTACTTTATAGTGCAATATTAGAATAAAATTCTGGAAATATTTGGATAAAGTTAATAATTTATGGTATTTTAAAACGAAAAAGTATAAAGTCATTGAAATCCAACTATACTGTAATTAACTATTAAGAGATTGGAAAAGTGGAATCATAGCACCGAAGCTATCGAAATAATTAAGAATTGCTTTTCGAAAAGGAAAACCTCGAATTTTTGACTGAATTTTTCTAAAAACTTTTTTTAAAGTTCCAAGTTTTTGTGTTAATTTCATGAAAAATTACCTCGAAATATCAAATGTAGTCATTTGCTCAACTGTACCAGTGACGTATAAAGCATTAAATCGAATAGAGGGATCTTCTGTATCGACATCCAAAGAAGCATAAAGAGCCTCAAGTTCACTATCTTTTAACTAAAATTAAATATATTTTTTCTCCTTTTGTATAATTCTCTCCCACCCCTTTTCATTTTTAAAGAATTTTAAATTATTAACAGAGATTCCATTGTTTTTCCTTATATCGTAATAAATTAAAATTAAATATACCTAATTATTCTAATCCTATCATCACAAAATAAACATTCATTTTCATTTCCTTCAAAGAAAAAAACTTTCTTCTCTTTCCCATTTTGAATTACCAAAAATAAACATTAAATAGTACATAACCCCCCCCCCCCCCACTACTATTTATTTCCAACTTTTCATTGTTCTCATCCATATAAACAAAAAAGGAGGACTAAAATAATCACATCTTTCTTCAAAAAATGACGGTGTGACAAAGAAAGTAAAGGAAAAAATATTTTAAAATTGCCAGTTTTCACAAAATTTTATTTATTTTAAATAAGCATAATAATGAAGACTAAACTCCCCAAGGTCACTCAACTCTACCACTGACGCATAAAAATCATAAACAAATTTATAAATCATTGGTTAATTAAAATTCTGGCCTCTAATATTTTTTAATTTTTAAGTAAAAAAATATTATCTCTTTTTTCTCTGATTATACTTTGAATATGTATACTATTATATTACTTCAATAAAAATACGAAAATATACTTAGGCAATTGCCCATTTTTCTTCCGCCACAATGGCCACCACCATTGCGCCTTTCATCCAATCCACAACCTTTTCTTCCTCAATTTTTCTAACTAAAATAATGCATTGAGAGTGCTGGTTGGTGCAATGAGTGAATGAGGTACTGACAATGAGTGGTAAAAATGCTGGATTGAAAATATATTCTCGCGCCAATTTTTTCCACTCCTCCAGGGAAAGACGACCGTCTCCTATTACCAGACTCTCTTACCCATCACAACTGCGCACGTACATACATAGCATTAACACTCCTAAAAACTATATAGCGCTGAAGGGCCTCGACAGTTGATTTGAGCGCCTTTGTTTGTTTAATTTTGGACTCTCAATGTCAGCAAAATAATTAAAACAACCATTTAACTATTTTTAATTTGTTTTTATGTACTATATAAAAAAGATAAAATTTGATAAAAATATTAAAACATTTTTACGGATTAACCAGTCTTTGAGAATAAAGAGGAGGAAAATGAAAAAAAAGATTGAGTGAAACAGATAAAGACGATAAATTAAAAGACCATCCCCAACTAATTTATTTTATGATTAAAAATATTTATTAATTCTTTCATAGATGTACTCTTAAAAATCCTTTAATTCCTTATAATTTAAAATAAGAAAATAGCTCAAAAATAGTAATATCATTATTGATTCTTAATTCTTGGTTAGTTATCGAGAGCATCAAATTCTCAAACATCCCCGCCCCCTCCCAAATCTTTTCTAAAACAAAACATCAAAAGTCGCCAACCATTTGAGGAAAAAAGGATCAAAGCGGAGGTCGCAAATAACGATAGTAATATATCTCTCAAAATTAAATCCATCTGGCAAACAAAACAACCACTATAACCAACAATCCCCTTACATACAAATAAATCACAAAAGAGAAATGTTTAAATAGAAATTAACAAAACAAAAATCAGAAAGGAAGAGAATATGTATTTCAAGTTGTTACTTAAATCTGTTTCTAAATGTTAAGTTTAGCTAAAAACTTTAAAGGTTATGTTCTAATGCAATCAATGGTAGAGAAATGACCTTCATAAAATTAGATTCCCCGTTTAATTAACTTTAGTAGAAATTAATAAAAAAATATTTATATTAAAGAAAAATTAATTTGGTTAATTAAAGAAGTCGAAAAATATAAAAGAACTTTCCCAAAATTTAACTCATCTAACAACCCTTAAATCCAAACCATTTCAAAACACATTACTATTCTTTAAAAAACAAAAAAACTCACATTTCGACGTTGTTCATCCTTCTTTCCATCAAGAATTTGTTCGAATCCACCCAGAAATTGTTCACGAATTTCTTCATCTTGAACCTCCTCTTCATCTTCCAATGTTGGAGACACTAACCGCTGCCTTTTATCGCCTAAACGTTTCACTCTACCAGCCAAACGTCCAAAAAATTTATCGGCGCCAGATTCACCTAAAGATTGTTAAAAAGCATACAACTCAGAGAGTAATTCTAAAAAGTACCGTTATCATCTCCACATTCTTCATTATCCTCCTCACCAACGTTACATGCCATTTCTCCATCAGAGGCATCTGAATCAAAAGTTTCGTTCGTCCTACGTTTACGAGCGGGTTGGTGAATAGATGCTTCTGTAGGTGTTTCTGTGGCTTCGTCAACTATTTTTGCATCAGCCTTCACTGAACTAACACTTGTCTGTTAAAATTTTTGATATAAAAATTATTTAAAATTGTTTAAAATTAAAGAATTTCCAATAAAATTTTTGCATAATTTTTATAAATTTAAGTATAGAATGAATATGCTCGCACACCTGAAACTTTGCTCACCTAGACCTATATTAAACAAAGGTTGAGACGAAGTCCCAGGCGGCGAGCATTTCGTTTAATAAAATTGTTGAGTTCGTGAAATAAAAAATTATTAATATATATGTATTTTTTGTATTTTGAACAATAATGTTCACACTTTCAAGTAAAAAAAAGGAAAAAAATGTTGCATATAAAGTGACCAAATGATGGGACATCATACAAAACCAAATTGGCTTTGTATGCACGTATACTGAAAAAAGGATGTGGGTGCGGAGGGGAAATGGTTGCGCAGTTTGTTGGTGCTTGTAAGACAGGAGAAGGGTAAGGTGAAATAATGGAAAAGAAAAAATGAGAATTGTGTAGAAAAATGAATGCCATTGCCTTAGTTGGGTACCATTAGTGCTATTGCCACTATAACCTAAGGCGCATTTGTCAATGCTTCTAGTTGCCATTGGTTTGCTTGCCTTAAAAATTAAATTAAACCCTTTTCTTGCAGCCTTCATTTATGCATGTAATGACGGCAGAGTATTAGTATAAGAGAAAAATAGAAGAATAATGAGAACAAATGATAGTACCAAAGCTAATAAAATTGAAATAGTTAAAGACAAAAGAGGAGTTATGGACAAGCCTGAACCTTCGGTAGAGTAGATAAAGTATTAATATAAAAATAATAAAAACTAAATTCTAATTAAGAACATTCCTCGAATAATCGGAAATTGGTTTCAACTCAAAAGATAGCTGCTCTATTAGAAAAATACGTTAGGTTTGAGGTGGTTAGGGTTAATAACTACAAATAAAATTATGTTAATTTTTGCCATTCTCTATGTATGAAAAGTAAAAAGAATGTAACTGTTAAAGTTTTAGGCTTGAAGGAATGGATGCTGAAAATTGGTGAGGCAAATACGACATAAAAAAGCACACCATAAAAGGAAATGGCGGAGGAATGGACGGCGGACAAGCGCAACGACTCTCAACTATAGCGGGAAATAGGCGGCAAAAGGGGTGGGTGTCCGACGGGCGAGGTATTAAGGTTCAAAATAGATGAGGGACGAGGAAGAAAACGTAGGAAGGGGAAGAATGGGCCTGAGTCGTCCACGCTATCGTTACAGCCCACAACTCATCCAAGCGAGTGCGCCTGCTGCATAAATGGAAATGTTGGTGGGCGCCACCGTCCTAGACGAAATTGATGGGAAAAAGTTGAAGCAGTTTTAGAGAGAAAAAACGAAATGGATGATAGAAAATGAAGAGAAACGAATATAAAAATCCTAACCTATTTCTTTGCGCTAGCTTTCTAAAAAGGCCATCCAAGTCTCTCAAATACTCTATAGCGGGGCTATTTGAGCAATAACTATCGCCATTAACAGTGAGGAAAATTGAAAATAAAAATGAGAGAATGGTTGTTTGAAAGTAGAATTTTTGAGAAAAAGAATTATTGAAGAATGGGCGGCAGTAGTGCGACTCACTACTGCATGTGGCAGTTAGCGGAAGGCGGAGAAAGAAAAAAGTGAGGCTATCGTGGTAGGATATATGCTGGACGAAATCATGATTTGGAGAAAATTTTAAGCGAGGTTTGGCACAATAACAATGAAGAACCTGAAAAGCAGTTACTCGAAAAAATTTCATAAAAATTATAGGAATTGAGAATTGAAAAGTAATGGGGAAAAGGAAACAAATTTGTGGAGAGGGAAAGAAAAAAATTTTGGGGAGGGGAAAAGTTTTTTTGGCCTAAGGCCATCAAAAATTCTTAAAATTTTCGCCTACTGCTAAAAAACTCCAAAAATCGCAACACTTCATCTTCGGCCATGCCGCCATTTTCGAGGTAGGGAATTCAATGTAAATGATAGCTTATTTGAACGGGCTTTTCGAATTTGATCGAATGATACCAAGTGGTCAAAACCAAAAAAAACCTTTAAAATCAAAGCCCTATAACGAACCAACGTGAAAAAGCCATTATATTACACAAAAACAGTTTCTCATTTTCACAAATTTACTTTAATTCCTATTCATGGGAATCTTATAAATTACAAAAAGAACTTACCGCTGCTTGTACTTTAAATCCAGATGGAATGTCAGGAGCATCAAGCAAATCGTAGTCCAATTCTAAATATAAAATTTTAAACTAAAAAGCCTAATTTTATACCTTCATCATCAGAAATTAAAGGAAGATCAATACCTTCCATAGTATTTACTCGATAATTCAAAGATTTCCTAAAATATAAGTTTTTTATTACAGGTAGTTAAAGGGGTAGGGGACGATTCAGTATCGCCGATTCAGTATCGCCAATTCAGTATCGCCGATTCAGTATTGGCTGATTCAGTATTTGGCTTTTTTGGCCATAACTTTTTGCTCGATCAATATTGTGGGAATTATTATATATGATTTGATAGGCCTCGGGGTGCTGCATCTTTTTCATAATTGGACTGACCTGATCTTATCACTCTACAAAAAGTTATCACTGATAAACGACGTCACAGGCATAAAGAATCGGTTTTCACGCTGTAACTTTTTTTGTGATCATCAGATCAGATCGGGCCAATTATGAAAAAGATGTCGAATCTTGAGATCTTTCGAATGATATGAGAATTATTCGAATCGGTCGAATATCAGGGAAGTTATGGCCATATACTGAATCGGCGATACTGAATCGGCTATACTGAATCGGCGATACTGAATCGTCCTTAACCGTAGTTAAAGTGATGCAGACAAAATGGTACTCGGCAAAATGGTTTATGTATTTTATGACATTTGTGTAGTACTCTGCAAAAATTGTCATTTTGTTATGTACCATTTTGTCTTTGTTATAGACGTGCTGAAATTAGTATAGACAAGAACGCGAGAGATGCTAAACACATTATCCTTTTCTGGAAAAAATAATTTTGTTTTATATAATTTTCAATTTATTTTTTAGCTCATTTAAACAATCTACGTAAAATTAAGCATTAAATATGCAGATTTTTGTAAAGACTCTCACCGGAAAAACTATTACTCTCGAGGTTGAGGCTTCTGATACTATTGAGAATGTTAAGGCCAAAATTCAAGATAAAGAGGGTATCCCGCCTGATCAACAGCGTTTGGTTAGTATATTTCCCATTTTTTCAAAAAATCAATCTTTTTAAGATCTTTGCTGGTAAGCAACTTGAAGATGGACGAACCTTGGCTGATTATAACATCCAAAAGGAATCTACACTTCACTTAGTTTTACGTCTTCGTGGTGGAAAGGTTGATATATTTTTTGAATTTTTCTTTAATAATTCTTTTAAGGTTCACGGTTCATTGGCTCGTGCTGGAAAGGTTCGTGCTCAAACTCCTAAGGTCGAAAAGCAGGAACATAAGAAAAAGAAGCGCGGCCGTGCTTTCCGTCGTATTCAATATAACCGTAATTATGTTTAAATTATTTTAGTTTAGAAAATATTCAGGTCGCTTCACCAATGTTGCTACATCTGGTGCGGGACGCCGTCGAGGCCCCAACTCCAACGCTGCCTAAGATAATGATCGTATGTTGATGAATGTATGATGATATAATGAAGCTAAGACATTCGACTTTATAAAGTTTTCTGTTGTTCAAGATAAATCTTTCTGTTGATATATTTGTTTTTTTTTGTTTTTGATTATTTTTCATAACATACCTATGTTCATTTATTTTACATTTATTCGTTTTATTTCCAGAAATGGACCTCGTTTATCACGAAAGGGTTTGTTAAAGGGTTATTTTCATTTCTCAGCTTATTTTTAGCAAGTCGGTCGTATGTGCGCACAACATGCACTGAACATGTTATTACAAGGGAACTATTTTACAGCAGATAATTTGGTGGCTATAGCTCATGAACTTGATGCTCGTGAACGAGCTGTGCTTGGTGATGAATCTCATTTTCAAAGTCAAAATTATGATGAGGTATGTGACCTTTTATTGAAGCAAAATAATGTTCCAAAATTTAGGGTGGCTCTGGCTACTTCTCAATTCAGGCTAGGCTTTTCATTGTGCGGGTCATATCTTTAATTTAAGGTTATTACTGAAGCTCTGAGACGGCAGGCAAATCTTCATTTAGAGGCGCTGGATAGCCCTGCTGCTTTTAAAATTCGTCAAAACCCTAGGTTTAAGGACGTTGATTAGTTGAAAATTTTCTAGTTGTTTAGCATGGGCCAAGCATATATTTGTCATTATGAAGATCATTGGTTTGCTCTTCGAAAAATAGGTACAACATGGTTCGTCCTGAATTCTTTGTTCAAAACACCTCGAATAGTTTCGGAAACTTTTATGGAACTTTACATTACACAGCTTTATACAGAAGGTTTTCAATGTTTCAATTGTTATTTACAACTTTTATAATTTAGGTTGGTCAATTTATCTGGTTGAGGGACAACTTCCTTCTTGTGCTGCCGATAATGTGCCTCGAGAATTTTGGAATGAAGCTAGAAGATCTCGCAAATTTGAAAATGATTTGGAAAAGGCACTTGCTTTAAGTTTGAATGAGTCAGCACAACCTTGGATTGCCTCTAATGTATTTTTCTATGATTTCTGATTCCTAATCTTTTCCTTAAGTCTCCTGATGACGAGTTGACTGCTACCTCAGCTTCGCTCTCTAAACAAACTGAGGAATTGGAACTTCAGGTTTTTAGTTTTTTCACGAAAAATTAAAAAAAACTTTAAGCGGGCCCTTGAGGAAAGCTTGCGTGAGGCAAACAGATTAAAATCTTTAAAAACTGCTGAATCCTCGATGGTGCATGAAGCGATGAAACAAAGCTTACAGAAACCAGAAGATTCAGCAGCAAGTACTTCAACGTCTGGAAAATGTCAATCAAAGGATGATCAGAATTCCCAATCAAGTTCTAGCAGTTTAAGAAAATAATCTTTATAAAGCATTGCGTTCGTCATTGACTTGCAAAAAATTTTTTTACAGTTTTATGCTAGGAAATAAAGTTTCATTTTGCTGTCAGATAAATTCCGTGATTCATACGCCAATACATATTGCCAGAAAGAATAATTTTATGTTCTTAAATCCATATTAAATTTATAAATATTTTTGTGGAGATTAAAAATTTTATCGTTACCATTTCACACAACTTACTAATGAGGTTAATATTTCAATAGATCTTATTGTTTCTGGCATTATTTTTGTGTTGTATGCTTTATATAAAAGTTTCCGCTGCATAAAAATCACTTTCAGTAATTTTTTTTTGGTTAAGTTGTTATATTTCCTTTTATATTTAACAAAGAACTTTTATTTAATTAAGTTTTATTTTCGATGAGTGATATCATTTCATCACAAAAACAGGAGCAGTTAGGTGCGTTAGAAGGGTGAATTTGTTTTGTGGTCTAATTAAATGTTTTTTAAACTTTTAATTTTAAATTATATTAGGATCTGATCAGTTTGCTGAGAAGAGCAGAGAAATTAATGCATTAATTTCTTCATTCCCGAATGGAATTGTGCCAGAGTCATTACTCGGGGATGCTTTAAATAAAATGTTTGATAAATGGAATTGCCTACTTTCGCAAGTTGTTACAGAAGTGGATCAAACTCAACCAATCCCTGAGCATATTAAGGAAACAGCAGAATTTGCCGTTAAAGGAGTTGGTTGTTTTAAGAATTTTATTTTTAAATTTCTTTTAGTTTCGAGATGCATGTCTTGGAATGAACAGTGAACTCACACATATATCTATGAATTGGCAGCTTAAAAATCCTGATGAACTAATCAAACAGGTTTATTTAAAATTAAATACATTTTAAAATTTTGTTTTAGGAGGTTGCTGATTATAAAAAATCTGTTCAACGACAGGAAAATTTGCTTGAGAAGATTAAGCACAGAATTGACGAAGAAATTGATTTTTCGCTTCACGATACATTTGAATAAATTTGAAATACTACATGGATGTATTTTTAATCAATAAATTATTAATTATGAAATACATTTTGCTAATTGTTAAATTTTATCTGTAACTATTTTTTAATTGCTTTCCATTGATGCTCTTATAAATTAATAGAACGACAGATGTGGCACGAAGCAAGAAGGCAGGAAAGGGCTGTTCGCCACAAATTGGTTGACGGTGCAAAACGACATGAGCGCAGAAGGCAATTCTACGAGAGTGTGGTGAGTTGTTTTTTGGTTAAAATGATTTTATCTTCTTGCGAAGTTTAGAGACGTGACCCTAATGAGTTCATGCAAGTTCATGGCCAGCATATGCCTATTCACGTCGATCCCGTAATTGCCGAGGCTGCTGAATCTCCCAATATTTTGTACTTTACTTTTATTATCTTGGCTAGAGTATCGCTTATGAACACATTGAAAATTTATTTTTCTTTTGTAATATAATTCGAAATGATCGAAAAGCACCATAAAAGTCGGATGAGTACATTTTTCATACGAAAAATGTACTTTTCAATGTGTACATAAGCGAACCCTTACTATTATTTTTTATATCTTACATATTTTAGGAGGAAATGGCAAGGAGACGACAATATATTAATTGACCGTTTTGATGTACGTGTTCATTTGGAGCAGATACAGGATCCGCCTTCTAAACAGGCAAAAAGGAATTTGTATGGTTAAAGTTTATTTTGTCCATATTTTTAATTTAGACTGAAAGATGATGTAATGGAACTGCAATGTGATTATGAACGGTACAGGATACTTGTATTTAATGATTTTAAAAAAGGTTGCTTTTGAAACTAATTTCGTTAACTAGCAACGTTTCACTTCGAAAACGATCACGAAAGTAGCTCTGCTTTTATTTTTATGTGATTCTTGAACTAATATTTTTGTTAGAATGATATTTCATTATATCACTAAATTATTTTGAATCCTTTAGAAATTAAATTTGGATGCGATTTTAACAATCTTTCACATAATTTTTTTTATTTTTCAGTTAGTGAGAGCAATTTTCTGGCTCAAATTGCAGCAAAAGAATTTTGGCCATCCAAGGGTTCTTCACCTTCTTCAACATATAAAAAAGAGCGAGAAAAGAAAAAGTATTTTTGGAAATATTTCTGAAATTTTTTATAATCAAAGGAATTCTGATAAACGTGCTGCTATTGCTTTCTCCTATGGAAATTCCGAGGTTGTCAGGAATTCGAATACCAGTAAAGATTGGAAGGAGAGACGAATAAATGATGCAACCATGAGCAGCTCTGATGATGATGAACCTGAAGAAATGGGTATTTTTAAATATTTACTTCACAGAAAAATCTGATATTTGAGGATGAAAATCGAATTTTATTAGAATAAGGCAATATTGGGATCCTCTCACAGGGAAACATCGGATATTTTGTACACAAATTCGGTAATTCTTTTGTGCAATTTATAGAGGACCATCGACTTTCTATTGAGAAGTTATGCGGGGTTTTTTTAGCAAAATGACTTTGGGCCGAGTTATGGCCAGTCAAAGTCGCTCATTTTCTCTCTTTTCCTTAAGCTCAATCACTCCTAAATACTCAAATTTTGAATGGCCATAACTCGGTCCAAAGTCATAGAAAGTCGATGGTCCTCTTTCGATTCGTACCAAAAAAAATTCACAATTTTTTGTACACAGTATCCAATGTTTCCTTGTCAGAGATAAAAATCTTTAAATGAAAGCTTTAGCAAATTATTTCGGCTCTTGTCCAGTTTATGCGTTAGCAAAAAGTTTATGCGTTTAGTCAATGCCGATAATTACCCGGTTCTTCATTTTAGTACCATAGAATCTATGAGCATAGAAAGCTACTCATCAGAGCTACTCATATACTGTATAGTCCTTTAACGATTGTTAACGGACTATACATTATAATACATAGAGACTGGACAAAAGCTATAGTCTCTTCTAAATTTAGATCCCGTCGTTGATACTTCTATACTAAATGCAGAGTCTTTAGCCTTTTTGAATAAAATTGGTACTAAATATAATATTACATCTGGAGCTTTTCTACAGCTTTTGGTTTTTCTATTCAAAATTATTTAAAAAATTTTTAACTTATTTTTTTAAAGAGTTTGGATCAAAAAGAGCAAACGTCAACCGCTGAAATTAAAGAAATTGATAAGGCTAAATCGGCGTTATCAGTAAGTTTATATAAATTAATGTATCTTGAATTATGTTTCAAAAAAGTTTTATTTTAATTTTTTTCTACAATTAAAAGGGTCGTCATGCAAAAGCTGACAGAGCTGTTCTTAAAAGGTTTTTAGTTTTAATTATTTTTATAAGATTTAAAAAATCTTACTTTCACAGACGACGGGCAATGATCATCGGAAATTTGGGATCTACATTGGTATCCAATGAAGAAGCAACAACCACACTTTTGAGTTTTCTTTCATCTGCTAATAAAAATTCATTAAAAGAGGAGTGGGTTAATTAATATTTAAGTAATTAATTTTTAATTTTTAGAACGTCTTCAAGTGATTCTGGAGAGGATTTTGAAAGAACAGAGTTTATTACTTGTTTTGGTGAAGACGATGAGAAAAATGTTGGTAAAAGGAATATGATGTGCGGTCCAGATGAGAATGATGGTGAAAAAGGTGTTGTGCATGGTCCTGTTTTGCCAACAAAGGAATACAGGCGACTTTTGTAAGTTATAGAAAATAATATAAATTTTATATTTAATTTTACTTAGGGAACTATCAAGACGAAAATCTATCAGCCCCGACTCTCAATGGAATCGTCATCAAAGTGATTCTAAACGCGGGAGAAGATATTCACGATCTTCTAGTCCACATTCCCCGCGTAAGAAGCGAAGATCTCATTCTCGCTCTTCATCTACTTCCTCTCGATATCTAAGGAGATCAAATTCTGGAAGATATGCCTCTTCATCTCATAGAGAACACCGTGATTCAAACCGAACGAGAACAAGTTACCGGAAGAGGCGTTCATCATCTCGCCGACGCAAGAGTTGTTCATCTTCCAGTTCGCCTTCTTCTAGAAGAACTAATTCAAATAAGAATTCTTCGGGTCATAAACGCATTAACGGTGAGGAAATGTTAATTTTTAGTAGAGATCAAACTGGAAGTGTAGTACTAGAGATATGAGATTTGAATTTCGATTCCCAATGACCGTGAGTTTCGTTCGAGAGTCCGTAGTTGCTGTTTAGACTACCAACTGGGATTTAAGATGAGAAGCCATCCACTGACCAAAATAAGTGAAAGTTTAATTAATGAGGGCTAATTTTATTTTTATTGGAAAGTTTATTTTTAATCTTTTAATTTTTATATGAAACAGGAAATGAGTCAAGTAATACTTCTTTTAAACAATCTTCACATTTGGCTAATTCAAATGATAGTTCTTCATCGTTCAGTACCTCTGATAACGATTCTCCTTTAAGAATTCGTTCATCAATGAGTGAATCAGAAAAAGAGAAAATTGAACGTGAAAACCGTAAAAGACGAATTAGGCGAACAAAGCGTATTGTGAAGTGGGTTTTAAATTGGTATTTTTCTGTTTCAATGATTTGAATGTTACTTCAGAGAACAACAAGCAACGCGAGAATTAAACAATCGTCAAGATGATGTCGAAACGGTGTTTTTTTCTTTTTATAATTTTTAATCATTTTCTTTAAGAGAGCAGAAAAAGCAGCCAAAAAATTGCGAATTCAAATGCGGAAAGCTTTAACTAAAACTGCCGCACAATTTAAAGAAGAGGGAGAGCAACGGCAAAGGGAAATATTGCGAGAAAAGAGGGTAATGAATTTTTTAACTGAATTTAATATCTTAACTTTTCTAATTTTAAGCAACGCGATGATCAATTACTTGAAGAATCTCGTTTACTTCGACAGAGGGAACGTGAAAAACGACGTGCATTGGATGATGAACGTGATCGTCAGAGGAGCAAGGATCAGACTGGTCGTCAATCGAGTAGCACAATTAGCAACAGCAGAAGGCGTCGACGTTCATCCTCGAGTTCTGGAAAATGAGGAAAATTTCAAGAAAAATAATAATAGTTGCTAATCACTAAATTTATATTTTAAAAAATATTTTTCATGTCAAATAATTGATTTGCCTGATTAAATTGTTGATTATATGTAAAATAGTTTAGAATATTTTTTTAATTTTTATTTAGTAAAGTTATCAAGTTTTTTAAAATTATTTTCGGCAGTTGTTTTTACATTTTACTTTGCAAATATTTATTACTAATTTAAATTTAATCTTTTAGTTTACTATGATTTCGAATTTTGGACAAAAGATTTCATCTTTATTATTTTCTGAAGGTTCTAAACGCTTTTTGTATTTTACCAGGTTAGTCTTTGAATAATAAAAAGATCAAAAGAATTTAAGGCCAATTCATGCAACGTCAATTAATTATCAAAATGTTAAAGAAGGTGGGGGAAATAAATTTGAAGAAGGCAAAAATAAGTCAACTGAAAAAGGTATAAGTGATTTATTGTCGGGTGGTGAAGGTTTTGCTATGCCTTTCAAAACTGAAGTAACGCCCGAGTTAGTTCCGCATCATCATTATAAGGTTATATTTTTTAAATTAAAAATACCCTTGAAAAGTCTAGCACTTTTTCGAAGTGGGGAATAGATTTTATATTAAAATATTCATCAACCCTATAAGGATATTTTACATTTGAACAAAATAAAGCGAAAGATTTTTTCTGTAAAGATTCTAATTTTTTTTGTTATCAAATTTTGTTTGTAGAATTATATGTGCTATATAGAACACATTCCACAAACACTGTTAATAGTAATGCAATACCAAAAACATTTCTTTGAGGATAAGTTCTCACGCGTGAATTATGAATATACCGTATTTTCTAAAATACAATAGTACTCCCCTTTGGAGGAAGGTATCTTTAACAAATAAAACAACATTTATTTTAAAGGATTGGAATAAAAGCAAACGTACAGTTTCAAGAAACATGCCTACACTAAATCTTCTTGAAAAAGAAGAAATTGAAGGAACAACTGGAAGTTCAACGTTTCTGCCCTTAATTTTTTAAAAATTTATTTTTAATTTTTAAAGTCTTCTTTCAATCGCAACATCTCGAGTAGATGAACAAATGCCATCTTTGGCAACATTGAAACAACTTTTTGGAGGGATTCCATATGAAAGGTTACCAATTGTAATTATTAATGCTAAATATACAAATACAAAAATTTGTGTTACTGATCATCAGGTTAGTTTTTAAAAATTAAAAATATTTGATAGAAGAGTTTTAAAAATAATTTGGACTTAAAAATTCATTTAAAAATTATTTTAACACAAAAAATATGAAACTTTTCTTAATTCAACTAATTGTCCAATATCTTTTCCTTAGGGTGTTATTATCTGTCAAACTACAGCAGGAATAGAAGGTTTTAAAAATTCAAAGAAGAAAACGACTTTGGCTGGACAAGCAACTGGAGCTGCTGCAGCTGCAAGAATGATTCGAAGAGGAATAAGAATAGCTAGAATAGTTGTTAAAGGTATTGGACCTGGAAGAATGACGGCTGTTAAAGGACTAGCTACAGGAGGAATTGAAGTAGTTTCGGTAAGAGAGAGAGAGAATTTTATTTTTTTATTAGGGCTGGAAAACATTTACAAAAGAAAGGGAATATTTTTATAATTTATAAACGTTGTTTTTAAAGATAACTGATAGAACTGCACTTCCAGAATTGGGTCCTAGACCAAGAAAGATAAGAAGGGTTTAATGAAAATATTTGTTTGTGAAAAATATAATTGTTTTTTTTTTGTTTTTTTTTGTCATTAATATAAATAATTAAAATTATTATTTTAATTATTTCTAATTAATACATAGTTTTTAAAAATTTTAAATTAAACTACTAGTAAAAATATTAGGTGCTGACATAATTACTCGCCGTTTTTCATTATTATTTTATTGATAAAAAACGGCAAGTAATTGTTTCCGTACCGAATGAGATTTTCGATAAGTAATAACCGGACTAAGTCTTTTCCTTTATTGAACCAAAGGAATATTGAAGAGCAAAATAATAAAGGTTGTTAAAGTAAATGAGACGGTTTTTGTATACTGAAAAATATCTGAATTTTTAAATAAAATTTTGAAGTCTACAAGTAAATTTGTTTCAAAATTTTATTCAAAAAAATTTATTTCAATTCTTAAATCCACCATTATAATTTTCTTTTTATTTTTACACTAAAGTCGAATTATAGTCCCGTAATGCATTTGTTCAATTTGAGGTCTTCTAGCAGTACTTTGTCTTCTTTGTCCATCCATGTCTGTTTCGTATTCCTCAACTTCTTCAATAGGTAATTGTTGAGAGAAAAGTTTTGAAAATGTTGCTGATTTTGAGAGGGAGGAAGGGGTTAAACGTCCCTCTAATGAATAGGAATCAGAATTAGAATGTAAATTATTTAAATTATTTGTATCATCTAATTGTTGTTGTTGTTCAGTAGAGAAAGAACAATCAAATGATTGGCATTTAATTGGTGGACCTTTTAAGATGAATAAATAAATTATTAAATAAAGGAATCTTTTTACGTCGTTTCCTTTCATTTCCAAAATTATTAGGTAAAAAAATAAAAGGTTCGGATACTCTTCTTTGTTGTTTTTGTCTTCTTTCTTCAAAATTATTTGAATTTGTTTTCATTAGAGCTTCTGATCGTTGGCGCCGATGATTATTTGTTTGGGTATTTAATTGGGCAGAGAATGTCCGTTGATGGATTGGGGGCTTTTCTTCTTGCTTTTAATAAAGAAATATTTAACAAAAGAAATATTTGTATTCTTACAGTTCCACAAGTAATTTGGACTGAATGACGTCGATTGACAGGATTAAATTGAAATTCATTTTGTAAATCTGTTTTACTCCGAAATTCAGGATTTCTTTGTAGATGGACAAAATCTCCCATTAATGACACCTTTTTTGATAAATTAAGTAATAATTATTTGTCTTTTAATGCAGCATTACAATTTTAAATTTAAAATGATAAATCGGTAAAATATTTTGGGGATCGAATTTGGGGATCGAATATGTAGAAAAAGGCATTTTTTGATGTATTCTAATTTTTTGCCCTTTTTTCTTTTGTTTCCCTCAAATACATACATATTTCAAACGATTTGTGTTCCGAAGAAAAGGAATTTAAGAATTAATTAAAAAATAAATAACAGAAATTAGGAAAACTATCATCCAATTATTTTATTTATAATTGAGGGAATTTAAAGAATAAAATGTAACAACAAATATAACTTTTTGAGGGCATTTACCTTTATTTAAATTTCCTATTTGGGGTATTTTAAGAAATCCATTTTTAAAAAGAAAATGGGTATATTAAATTTAACTAATTTAACCTTAATTTGGATTAATTATTTAAAACGAGATTATTTTAAATTAAAAATTTTACTTACCAAAGAATCTTTTACTCCCATATTTATTTAATTCTTTTTAATTAACAAAAAAAATAATTAATTTTTAATAATTTAATATAGTATGTATGTATATTTTGTTCTTTTTATTTAATTAAAAATTTAATAATAAAAAATATTAATTTTCTTTTAAATAAAAATACTAGTTTTTTTAAATAATTAAAAAGAAAGAGAAAATAAATTGGATAAATAAAAATATAAATAAACTGGTTTTTAAGAAGAGGTTTTAATGTAATAGTAGTAGTAATTATTAATCAAATAATTAATTAATTATTTAATGTCAGGTGAAATTAAAAGATGAAATTTTTTGTCATCATTTTTTGGGTGCATTTACACTTAGAAAATGAGAGGAATTTAATAATAAAAAAAGTTGGAAGTCAAGAATAAATTCAAAAATCATTTTATTTCTTCTCTCAGAATTATATATTTCTGATTTTTAGTTTTAAATAATTTTGTGAAACTTAAAGAAATGTGAAATGTGGGGTTTTATTTTTAACGGAATATTAATTATAAGGTTACGGATATTCGGGGATTTACCAACAAATTATTAAGTTTTGCCTATTTCAGTTTATTTCAAAAGAAATAATTCGGTACTGTCTTTATCCGCTCATATGTTTAAAAATTATATTAATTCGCCAAGTAGAGTAGAAAGGTATAAAAATTATTAGGAAATTCAATCATCTGTAGAAGTTATTTATCAAAAAGGGTTTTATTTATTTTAGCAGATTAGGTAATCTAGTATTTAATATCACGTGTTTATCAATTAAGTACACCAAAACCAGCTAATTATTTAGTTTAAAAAACTTTAGTTGATCATAATTTAATCCATGCCCAAAACGTCTAACAAGCTATAAATTGTGTATATCCTTTGATTGTTTTAAATTTAATTGTTAATTAATGGATTATTATAAATTAAGGGCTTCAAAAGTTAAGTAAAATCCAGATAAAAAATTTTAGTTAAAAAATTTAAATATTTTTTTATTTTTAATTTAATTTAATACATCCAATTTCTTTTTTTAATTTAAATATTTAATTTGTTTCTTTAATAAAAATAATTAATTAAAAAGAAAAAAATTAAAGTTTTTTAATTAATATTTATTTAATAAAATATTTAATTTTTTAATTAATTAATTATTTATTTTTTCTTCCTTTCAAAAAGACTCAAAATGTTCACTTTCTCGAGAAACATTTGCTTAAATGAAACAAAAAGTGAGTAAAAAGGGACTGGGCCGTTTTGGCGCTGGGCCGTTTTGGCGCGCGCTTATAAGATAGCGAGTTCGTTATCAAAAATGATAAAATTTTGCAATAATAACTCTCGTACCTTTATCTAAGTTCTCCAGAAATTTCAGAATTTTTGATCAAGAATTTCGGAAATTGTGGCCAAAAATGTTGATTTTCAGAAAAATGCCTAATTTTTCGAGGTCTATCGACTATAACTTCAGAAATATTTGATAAAAAAATTCTGAAATTTCTGGAGCAGATAGTCAAGGATGTTAAAGAAATTTGAGAAAATTTTGATGAAGTTTGGTTTCACCTAAGTGCCACTTTTTTGTTCTCGCGCCAAAACGGCCCGGCGCCAAAACGACCCCAAC